GTTCTTTGCATTTCTGAGCAGTCCCACATGAAGAGGTTATGGGAATAGCAAGATTTGCAGATGATGTCATTAGGTGAGATAGTTTTCTAGAAGATGCGGCCAGTGTTGCCACAAACAAGAGGGGGGTCAGCCTGATCTCCAAAGCACCTGAAGGCAGGAAAAGGAAGCAATAGATGGGAACTAATCAGGGAGAGAAGCAACGTAGAACTAAGGAGAAATTTCCCGACAGTGAGAACAATGAATCAGTGGAATGACTTGCCACCAGCAATTGTAAATGCTTCAACACTGGACGTTTTTATGAAAAGATTGGACAAACATTTATCTGAAATGATCTTGCCAGAGCAGGGGGGTCGGCCTAGAAAACTATTCAAAATGATCTTGATGTAACAGAGAAATGAGCTGAGAGTAAGTTAAAGGTTAAGTGCAAAGTTATACATGTAATAAATATAGCTTAAAATTGCACAGGTACAGAGTGGGAAATAACCGTGTTCGGTAATAATTACTGTGAAAAAATAAGCCTTGCGATAATAGTTGATTATCAACTGAATATTAGTCAGTCGGGTGTTATGACTGCCAAAAAGCTAACTGCACTTTGATCCCGGATTAACAAAAGCATTGTTTCTAAATCATAGCCCTCTAGGCCAAGATCATTTTAAATAAAATACTCAGGCAAACAAAGAGACCCATAGCTCTTCTCCATCTTCTCTGTTATGGCTTACCTGTCTGTCAGGCGTTTTGGCATGCTTTAAGATATGTGGAAAACATTGCTTGGTTTTTTGTAGGGTGTGTAAGTCACAAAAATCTTCCTTAAATCATAGAAATAGGAACCGTTACTGATTATTTTCACTGCAACACTGGCTACTTTTTCGATTTCTGAGGATGTGGAATAGCTGAAACATAAGTGATACTGAATTCACATGTTCTACCTATATGAAACATTCTATGGAAGAGCAAGCTGCTAGTCACAATTATGAGAGGGCTATTATATTTATTGTGTATTTTCCAAGCTTTTTTATTATTTTCCTTCGAGTGTGTGTGTGTGTGTGTGTGTGTGTGTGTGTGTGTGTGAGAGAGAGAGAGAGAGAGAGAGAGAGAGAGAGAGTGAGTGAGTGTGAGGAAATGCAATATAAAAATACTATACTCTACACTATACTATACTGTTGCATGGTGGTTTGGCCAGTGAACCCTAAGATTGAAAATACCCTGAAAAATCCATACAATCTCTTAAGATTTGTCTTCACACATGAAGGCACATCTGAATGTGTCTTCATTTAATTTTAGGTTGCCAAATAGCATTTTTTCAATGACTTCCTTGTCTACGTAGAACAAGAGTTGCTTTCATTCCAAGTGTCCTTTGTAGAAAAGCTTGTGTATGCTTTGCTAATTGGAGCAGGTGACATGGAGACAAAATGCTGCTGGTAACTTACTGAAATATTAATATGGTTCATTGTTCTTTTGTTTGTTCTGAATGTTAGTAAAACATAACACAAAGCACTAGCTTGATGGAGACACTCTCCTTTTGTGATATGTAAGTTGTGAGGGCAAACATTATAAATCGAAATTTAAAAGACACAAATGGTATACACAGTAGATTTGTATGACCCTAAGTTTATTTGGATAACATATTGCTGAATTCATTTTAATTAGTGCTGAACTTGAAGGCTTTCCCAAATAAAGTAATTCTTTAAATGCAGAATGAAAATGAACCATATTCTGGCAAATTCTATTGTGAAATAGAGGAATGCCAGAGAATACTTGTAGCAAGCTTTGATCACTGTATATTTATTCACAGTGCTGGTATTTAGAGAGAATTTAGACATTACTAGATTAAATATCTCCTCTTATCAACAGAAAGTTGAAAGGATTTATTTATTTATTTATTTATTTTATTTATTTGATTTGCCAATTATTTACAAGATAATAAGTATAAGTGTATACATAGTTGTGAATACATGAAATGGGTACATATAAGAAAAATAAAAGAAGAATAAGAGAAACAATAGGACAGGGACCGTAGGCACGTTGGTGCGCTTATGCATGCCCTCTACAGACCTCTTAGGAAAGGGGTGAGGTCAATAGTAGACAGTCTAAGGTTAAAGTTTTTGGGGTTTGGGGAAGAAACTACAGAGTCGGGTAGAGTATTCCAGACATTGACCACTCTATTGCTGAAGTCGTATTTCCTGCAATCAAGTTTGGTGCGGTTAACTTTGAGTTTGTATCTATTGTGTGCTCTTGTGTTGTTATGGTTGAAGCTGAAGTATTCATTGACAGGTAGGACATTGCAATGTATGATTTTATATACCATGCTTAAATCAGACCGAAGACAGCGTAATTCAAGGTTTTCTAGTTCTAGAATTTCAAGTCTGGTGGCATAAGGTATTCTACAACGAGTAGAGGAGTGGAGAACTCTTCTTGTGAAATATTTCTGGACTTTCTCAATTGTGCTAATATCAGATACGTAATGTGGGTTCCAGACTGATGAACTGTATTCGAGTATTGGTCTAGCAAATGTTTTGTATGCTCTGGTTAGTAGTGTGATATTACCAGAGAAAAAGCTACGTAGGATTAGGTTAACAACTCTTAATGCCTTTTTGGCTATGTAGTTGCAGTGGGCTCTAGCACTTAGATCATTAGAGGTGAGTATTCCAAGGTCCTTTACAGAGCTTGAGTCATCAACAAGATCTTGACTATTCAGCTTGTATTTTATTTTCTGATTTTTTTTGCCAATATGTAAGACAGAGCATTTATTTGTTGAGATTTGAAGTTGCCATTTGTTTGACCATTCAGATACATAGTCAAGATCTTTTTGTAGGGTAGCAGTATTGTCTGTGGTATTGAACAGCTTTACATCATCAGCGAAAAGAACGCAATTGCTCTTAATATGATCACAGAGGTCATTTATGTAGAGTGTGAAGAGAGTTGGTCCTAGAACACTGCCTTGGGGGACACCACTATTGACAGGTACAGAATTTGATAGGACGCTCCCAATTTTGACCATTTGTTGTCTGTTTGCCAGGAATGCTTCTATCCAGTTATTCAGTTGTCCAGAGATACCATAGGATTTTATTTTTAGGAGTAGTTTGTCGTGTACCACTGAATCAAAGGCTTTACAGAAGTCTATGTAGATTGCGTCTATTGCTTTGCCCTGGTCGAGTTGTGTCGTCCATATGTTTTTGCAGTGTAAGTGTTGCAGATTACAGGATAGTTTTTTTCTGAAACCAAATTGTTTATTGGAGAGTAGGTTGTTTGTCTCTAAGTGGAGGATGATGGATTGGTTAATAATTGATTCCATGACTTTACAGGTGACGCAGCATAAGGAGATTGGTCTGTAATTTTCAACTAGGCTTGGGTCTCCCTTTTTGAAGATGGGGATGACTGTGGCTTGTGACCATAGGTTAGGCAAGGAGCTGGTCCTGAAAGATTTTTCAAAGATTATGCTTAGAGGTTTGGCTATGGCAGTGGATAGCTTTTTTAAGAAGTAGGCACATATTCCATCCGGTCCAATAGATAGAGATGGTTTTAGATTGCGTAGTGCTTTTTCAACATTGTCTTCTGTAAAATCGATATGTATTAGATCATTGTTGTTATCTGTGGTACGGCTAGGAAATACTGGGCATGATCCATTGCTGTTTACAAATAGGACCTGATGGTAAAGACTGCAACGACGACACCATTAAAGCCAACCTCTTTAACACATTCTTCGGCTCAGTATTTGTAAACAGCAACGGATCATGCCCAGTATTTCCTAGCCGTACCACAGATAACAACAATGATCTAATACATATCGATTTTACAGAAGACAATGTTGAAAAACATTTATAGAGGTATGCTTACTCAGTGTAGGATTCATGAGACCATTTGGGACGCATGAACTTCCAGTTTCTGTTTGAAGACATTTAAGAGCAGAACTTACTACATCATTTGGCAACCTGACAAAGTACTCAAGATTTTTACAAGGGTCATAAGCAAGTTACCAATCAACCTTGATGCAAATCACATGATCCTTAAGGAACTCTATTCTTCCAAATGGACATTATTTGCTTGAAACTGGCAAAAAATGTGAAAAACTGAGTGGGGAAAATTTCAAATATGGTCACATGACCGTAGGACGCTGCAACTGGTTGTAAATGTGAGTCTTGTTGCCAAGTCTGTAAAATGCAATCCCGTGACCACAAGACGGGGGTGGCAGTATAACTTCAAGAACAGGTCATTAATAGCTTTTTAAAAGTGTTCAAAACTTCAGATGGTCATCAATCAATCAGTTATAAATTGAGGACTGCCTGTACTTTCTGAATTGGAGGCATTAATGGCAGTCCTTTGGCACAATAGTGTGATTCTATCTGTGATGTGATTCTGTAATTCTAATGTTCTTTTTGTCAATATGAATTTGAACTATCTCATACTGGAGTAGGATATGTAGCGATTCATTTTGATTTTAGATTTACTCCGTACCCAAGTATGCATTATTTAACTGTGTATCCTGTTTAATTGAAGTTTTATTCAACAGGTAGATGAATGCATGCATAGAAAGGTGAAAGCAATATAATCGCTAAAATGGTCTTCATATCTTGATACCTTCTAGATTTGACTAACCTCTACAATTGAGTGAGAAAGTCTGGTTTAGAATGCCATGTTAGATTAGTATGTAAATTAAATTTTCCTAAATTAAATTTCCCTGATGTGTCATGGAATTCTCTAGAGAAATTAAGAAATTAAGACACTATTAGCCTAATCAAGCTCAGAGGAATGATATGAGTATGTAGCAGTGGAATGGGAAGCTTTTTAATGTGTTATTTAGAAAAAGGCAGAACTTTACATATGTAATCAAAATATCCATTATCTTAATTAAATATTATAAGTTGGTGTGTGTCTGTTCAGTCTCTGTTCCAGATATTACCTGCCTTTCTGAATGTTCTACTAGAAGTGTAAGAGTGATTCTTTTTTTCTTTTTTTTAAAGAAACTATAGAAAGGATAAATAATTATTTAACTATAATTTTAGATCTCTTGGAAAAGTCCCGTGTTGTTAAACAGCCCAGAGGTGAAAGAAATTTCCATATTTTCTATCAAATTCTGTCTGGAGGATCAGAAGATTTGCTCAGTGAGTACAATTTTGGAGAATATTGAAGTTATAACTGCATATGGAACTAGGTAATTTATTTCAAGCTGGCATAACTAATTTTGGTATTGTGTGCAATTTTTTATTTAAATCCAGACATAGAAAAACAACTGTTATTGCTGCTAAACAAGAGCAGTAATGTGGATTTGCTAGTAAAAAGATATATATTTTATTTTAACAGAAAAACTTAAGTTGGAGATGGACTTCAGTCGATATAATTACTTGGGTCTGGGCTCTGCAAAAGTAAATGGAGTAGATGATGCTTCAAACTTCAGAACACTTAAGGTAAGAATTGATGCCCTTCTGCTATATTCAGTATTGGTTCAATCTCATTTTGAAATGTAAATTTATTTGTATACCGCTTTTATTGTTTTTACAAATATAGGTAGTCCTCGACTTATGACCACAATTGAGCCCACAATTTCTTTTGTTAAGTGAGATATTTGTTAAGTGACTTTCCCGCCACAGTTGTTAAGTGAATCACTGCTGGTGTTAAATTAGTAACATGATTGTAAAGTGAATCTGGCATCCCCATTGTCTTTGCTTGTCAGAAGGTCGCAAACAGCGATCACATGACTACAGCAGTGGTCATAAATGTGAGTCAGTTGCCAAGCATCTGAATTTTGATCATGTGACTATGGGGATGCTACAACGGTTGTGTGAAAAACAGTCATAAATCATTTTTTTCAGTGCTGTTGTAACTTTGAACTGTTAATAAACTGTTGTAAGTCGAGGACTACCTGTAACTCAAGGTAGCAAAGATATTCAACATATTTTCTTCTATCATATTCCCCACAACAATCCTGTGAGATGAGTGGGACTGAAAGACAGTGACTGGCCCAAGGTCACCCAGCTGGCTTTCATGCCTAAAGTGGGATTAGAACTCATGATCTCCCAGCTTCTAGCCTGGTGCCTTAACTACTAGACCAAACTAGTTTATTCTTGCAACTAATGATGAGATCTGTTTGACATTCATTCAAGCAGATGGAAGTATCATAGGCGGAATTGAGGTGGCCTACTCTTTTGCATTGATCAGGGATTAATATACCTGACCTCAATGTTCTCTTCCACCTCTGATTTTAATCAACCTCCTTTATTTATTTTAAAAGCATTTCTTTTGATTTCTAGCCATTCAGAACAAATAATCTCTCTCTTCCTAGCCTGACTGTGTTGAAATGCTATGGATCAGGAACATAAAACCATGAGAATGAAAATCAGTTGTGGATGCTGAATTTTTAAATCTCCCTGCTTTCATATATTTTATTCAGGTCTTAAATGAAAATTAATATTAGGTAGGAGTAGTTAGATTGTAATGAATGTACTCGTATTAAAAATGTTTGACTGTTCTTAATGATTTTTCTATTGAAAATGTGTTTCTCCATTAATTTAATGAATGTAGAAGGGTTCTACACTTATAAATATATTCATATTTTTTTAAAAAGGAACCAAACGGTAATTAAAACATCTAACTGTGAATTTAAAGTTATTTCTAGTAACCCTATAAGTTAAATAAAATTCTAGTGTGACTATAATATGAGAGCCATTTGGGCCAGCTGAGAGATATAAATTTGAATCTTAGCTGTCTAAATAAAATCTTGTGTGAATTTTAAAAAATCATACACCCCCTTCTTTTTGTTCCTATTTATATTCTAAATTTATATTTTGTTCCACTTGTCTTCTCACACTGAAGCTGCCCCCTGGAAAGTAAGACTTTCCAGTATTAGCTCCCTTATTTTGGTACATTCTGCCATGTAAGGTGTACCAAGCAACATCCTTACTGTTTTTTTCCAGTGCTAGCAAAGGTGTTTTTAATACTTTAAGACTTTTTCGTAATGTGCTAATACTGCCGTGATTTTTAACTTACCATTGCTTTTACTTTCTCTTTCTGCTTTAATGTTTATCTTGTTGATTTTATTTTGTACTGTTCTTTTAAAATATTTCATTGTATGCTTTTGTGAATGAAAGTGATATAGGAATGTGAATAGATACTACTTAGTTGGCTGTGAAAATACAATAAATTGGGTGCAGTGGGAAACAACTACCAGGAAGGAGGAAAATGTGACAATGTAATAAATAAAACACAATTTCCATCTTCCAGAATGCAATGCAGATCGTGGGATTTATGGACCATGAGATCCAGTCAGTATTTGAAGTTGTTGCTGCCGTTTTAAAACTGGGAAACATTGAATTTAAACCAGAATCTCGTGTGAATGGATTAGATGAAAGTAAAATCAAAGATAAAAATGGTAATTCAAATAACAGTGTTTAACTGAGTAACATTGATATTCTCTCCATTGGTTTATAGTACTACTTATTTTTTTGGCTTGTTTCTAAATGTATTAAATTTCAAGGCCAATGACAGAATCTTTATTGCAGAATCCTTATTTATTAGTATACTAGGTATTTTTCTGTCAGTTTGAAATTGTTCAGAATTCTTCATCAGACTTTTTTTTAAAAAAAAAAGTTCTTATGTACTACTGTTCTAGTTCATTGAAGGTCTCCTGGCTTGTATTTAGTCTGTAGAAGATAAGCATGTACAAAACAAAAACCACATTTTCTTCTACCGCATTAACCTTTTTCCACTTTATCCAATCTTAAAATTACTGATTTAATTTTAACTATTTAGTGGACTTCAGCAGTATCCGATATTGGAAGCAATACAAAAGCCTTGAAATACTGCACTTTATGCACTCAAGAATTAAAGAAAAAATGAAAGAAAGGTTCAGCAGAAAAACAATGGCTGGATAACACTGTAGTCATAGAGTTTGAATTTAATAATAATGTCTTAAAATGGAATAAGGGATGGAATGAAACATTCAGATTAGACTCTTTCAGATTCTTGGGGTTTTTAATTTGCATCTTGTCCTCTATCTCAAAATGCTGGGATAAAGCAACAGTAAATTTAGCATCTGTGTTAAAAATATAGCGTTCAATTTTCACTCAAAATTATTTTCATCCTTGAGCAAAGTAGTTTCCTTAGTAGGTAGAAAGTAGCTAAAGTAGGCAGTTTTTGAATTTAAAAAAGCTACGGATAATTGTAGATGACATGGCAGATATTTAAAAATACATTTTAGAAAGGAAATCAGTAAAAGCTACACTTGTGTGCAAAGCCAAGCATCCCTTGTCAAATTGTATGTTTCAGTGAATCAGTAGGTAAACAAAAGGCAACACACCCTCTACATGGTAGAACGTTAAATACATCATTCTGCAAATTTGAATGCATGCTTACTATTTCTATGCAGTTGTTAGCAGAATCAAAATAAGGAAATAAAGAATAAGGCAGGTGAAGCTGTTTTGCCTAGCCAGTTGCTAGAAGAAAGTACTGTTCAACCTCAAACTGTGTATGATTCTTCAAGTTATGATTCTTCTTTTCCACAGAACTTAAAGAAATATGCGAGTTGACAGGCATTGATCAGTCAGTTCTGGAAAGAGCTTTTAGCTTCCGCACTGTTGAAGCCAAGCAGGAGAAAGTATCTACAACTTTAAATGTAGCTCAGGTAATGCCAGATGATTACAGTAGTGAATTCTGTCCCCACCCCCCTTCAGTAACAGGTGCTGCAAAAAAGCTGAGGCTAGTATTTTTAAAAGGACTTTCCCACAGCACATCTGCAGATCATGGGTGGCTATTGATTCTTGCCACTTTATGCTGTGCCAACACCAGAAAATATTTTAATCTTATCTAAAATGTTTTTGACTCTTTTTCCCCCCCTTTTAACTAGGCTTATTATGCTCGGGATGCTCTGGCAAAGAATCTTTACAGTAGACTGTTTTGTTGGCTTGTTACCAGAATCAATGAAAGCATTAAGGTATAGTTCACCAAATGCAATAAAATTTCAATGACAGCACATAAAATAAATGCTCATCTGTTTTTGCGTATAAGCAATATGTATACCTGTGGACCATGGCCCACTACTGGGTCGTGGCCTAATTGCCACCGGGCTGTGTGAGTTGGCCAACCAATGTGCATGCATCTGCACACGTACACAGCCCCACTTGTGCAAGTGTCGCTGCAGTTGCTCACGGCCCAACTTGAATCTCGTGGATGCTTGTGGCTTCACTCACTAGCCTTGTTGCAGGCGCTTATGGCCACACTCACGCTTGTGTTGCCATGAACATTGCCAGCGCTTTCACACATGCACATCCACCTGCCCTCCCACAAAATCATCTCCTCTTCCCCCCCCCCCCGCTCCCCCTGCTCCAGGCCAACCCAAAAAGGTTGGGAAACTCTGATGTATGCCATATGATATTTTTTAATTTACAGTACTCTTTATTTATTTATCTTGCTGCCATCTATTATTAATCATGAAAATAACAACTTTTTCTACAGGCACAATCCAAAGTAAGGAAGAAAGTAATGGGGGTTTTGGACATCTATGGCTTTGAAATTTTTGAGGTATTTTCTTTACTTCATTTGTTATCAAAATATATAATTTACTTATTTATACCCTCTATCTTTAAAAATACTCAAAATACAATAGGTCAAGAATTAATTAACATAGGGGGAGAAGTCTCAGTAAATCCTGACTGATTAAACTGTCTGGGATGAAACATGCTAAATTTTGGTCAGATATACATAAAAAAATTAAAATGGCAAAAAACTGTTGCTGCTAGTAATTTTGTTTGTATGGAAACAATTTTTTGAACTGGCAATAAATACTGTAAACTTAAGTAATATATTGAAGCTCATTTGCATTATAAGTTGTGCCTCTTTGGTTGTATTTACTCCTTTTGGAGGGGAGCAAAGAGAGATTATCGCAAAGACATTTTGAAACACACAAATAATTAATTGGAAAATTGTTTTATTTTTTTAATTGAAGAATTTCTCAGTCTCTTCAATAATTCCTCAGGTAGGTTTAGATATCTGTTGTATCCATCCTGTTTGCTTAGAAGCCACTCCTGGATAAAACTTTTTACAAATAAGAAGCATGTGACTTTTATGGCTGAAAAAAATCTGTGTATTCAGATCAGATTACCCTTGTTTTACTAAGATTACTATTGTAAAGAATTGTAAGATAATTACTGAGAGCATGTTAAATACAGAGCTGCAATGATTTTTAATTAGCATATCTACATCTAATGTAGGGTTATTACATTCATGATTTACATGATTAGATATGCACTTAAAATTGATAAAATATAAAATAACCATTAAAGACATATAGAGTATTGATTTTTGAAATCAGTGGTTTTATTTAGAGTGAATAATATAGTTTTAGGTTAAAACAAGTTTAATAAAAGAAAAATTGTCTTCTGTTCCTAAAATTTCCTGAATAAAGTTGCTTGATTATTATTATTTAAATATTTAAAGTCCTTAGTTAATGATCATAACAGGGACTGGCAACTCTGTTGCTAACCAATGTGGACACAAAGCAAAGAAATAATATATCCCATGACCATGTTGTCAGCCTTTCCAGGTAAATCAGATAGAAAAAAGGAAAAAAAATTCTACTTTATTGTAAGAATAGAATTTTATAAGTTTGAAATCTCCCATTGCCTGCCTGATCCATTAAGATTGATGATCGATGTCTTTCCTAACTTTCTTTCTTTGTCCATTAAGCTCCCTCTTGTCTAAATTGAATGGACTAGGGATCCATAGTTTTCAGATCTATCCATCTTCTTTGGAATATAAATGTATGCTTCAGTTTTCTTCATTGTGACAGTTCTTCCAATGTTCTTCTAATTTAAAAAGTTTGAAAAATAATTCTTCTACTTTTTAAGATGATTTTAATTGCATGCCACTCAGAGATGTATTTGAAAATGTGTGTGTGTGTGTGTGTGTGTGTGTATGTATGTATGTATGTATGTATGTATGTATGTATGTTTTTATGTATCCCTTAAAACTTCAGTTGTAGTGTTACCAGTACCAAAAAGAAAGTGATTATATGTGTGACTGAAGTCCATTATGCAATTTACAAATGATCTATTGATATGTTATGATTATCATGAAATAGCAACTTGTAAAAATGGCTTGCAGGCTATAATCTTTTGATTTATAACCCTCCCAAGTGTGATTAATGACACTTTTTCTTTTATTGGGTAGGATAACAGCTTTGAACAGTTTATTATTAACTACTGCAATGAGAAACTGCAGCAGATCTTCATTGAGCTTACTCTAAAGGAGGAGCAAGAAGAATATATACGAGAGGTATACATTTGTTTCCTGTGTAACTTCCCACTCCTTCCATAAATAGCTTCCTCTATTTGCCTTTATTAACTTTTGGAAAAGTTGTTCCTTTCCATTCTTGTAAAATAAGAGTTTATTCCATTATACTGGCATCTCTTAATAAATCATAAGGGTTAGCTTTGAAACAAAATTAATAATCCAAAGGGCACAAATGAAAATTGTGGCAAAAGGTTTGTTGAGAACCAAGAAGTAGCAAAGCATGAGATTATCCTGGAAGCATAGATGTGAACACCCAGAATACTGCACAGAAATATAAAATGTGTTTTGGTGATGCTCGGTATGGCACAGGACTTGATTGATGACAGTACAAAGATTAGTACTACCAACTGTAATTTATTCCAGGGATCTCCAACCTTGGCAGCTTTAAGACTTGTGGACTTCAATTCCCAGAATTCCTGAGCTAGCTTTGCTGGAGTTGAAGTCCACAGGTCTTAACATTGCCAAGGTGGTGGGGGAGGGGGGGCTGATCTATTCTATTCTGATGGAGTCATTTAAACTAAGCATCTGTCCTCCTGAAGATGAAGATTAAAGGCAGATAAATCTCAGGGGTTTGTGAGGTAAAACAGTCCTTTCCATAGAAACACTCTCAAGATGTGCAAAGTGTTTATTGACCTAAGGCTTTTCACTGAAGGAATTTGGATCTGTTTCAATTAAGTGCATGGGAAATTGACACAGATTGAGGAATGGAATGGAAAACACATCTGGCAGTTCTTCAAGAACACTCAGTTTGGTATAGCAGCATTAGCAGTTTCTGCGTTTCTAACAAATATAAAGCTCCCATCTGAGGCTCCAAAAGAATAATTGTGATTAGAAGAGAGAAGATGCAAAAACAACAGGAAAAACTCTCGCTCTCCCTTTTTGAGATATATATACACCTTTATCAGAAGATTTACAATAATTTTAATTGCCACTCTTTTTCAGAAAGAATATGAAAATAGAAATTTATCTATTGATAACAACTGTTTTCTTCATATTGTCATCTTGCTGCTAAACTTTTAATTTCATATAATTAAATTAAATTCAAAATTTAGAGTATAATTTCATATAATCTAAAATTAAAGAGCAGGTTCCAAGACCACCTGAAGCTAATGAGAAAAAAGTACATTGAAATGTCCTTACAATCTTAACGTGCAGCAGTAGTTTTCTTAGGATTTAGAAAAACTGGGTATTCTAGGACATGACAATTTACTAAAAGATGCTTGAATTAAGGCAAGCAGTGGATCTTTGAAAGAAGCCAGATATTTCTGGTCTTCTTCCTGTACTTAAAAGAATCCTTCTACATTATTAACTGTTGAGAAGAGAATGTAAGGCAGTCATAGTATACCTCCACAGTTTTAGTTTTCTTTGTTTTAGTAAATTAAACTGTCTGGATTTATAATCCAGAAAATACAGTTTGTCTTCTATGGCTGTTTAAGTATGGTTTATGTATTGCCAGCTTTAAATATCTTGCTACCATGAAGCATACAGTTCAATCATGCCATCTCCTTTGATTGGTGTTGCATAGCAGTGATATATTCCAGGCTGGAGAGCAT